TTCCGATACAGATACAATGAAGATTATTTCTAAAACAATTCAATAAATGCATATCCTAACTATTTTTTTCCCTCATTTTTGTGAGTATCAGACTTGGTAATACTTGTTTGGACGCTCGATCTCTTCTCTGTGATTCAATGTATAGTTGTCAAGACTGAATAATTCAGCTTGGATTTTATTAAGAAAGCTATTAAAAATAAATCAGCACTTCTAGCAATACAGTCACCAACGGGAAAAATATAAATGGACCAGTTAGAAAATAATGCATTTCGTTTGTTTTCTTTTTTTTGTTTCTGTTTGTTTGGTTGGTTGGTTTGTTGTTGTTTTGTTGGGGGAGGTTTCAGTTATGACTTCATTGGAAGTAAGGTCCTAACCAAAGGGCATATTCTGATTGCAACTGTACAACATCCACACAAATAGAGAGAATAGAAACTGCTATTCCATCGGAACGTTGAAAACATCTACTTCCGTGTGTGTGTGTGTGTGTGTGTGTGTGTGTGTGTGTATGGTATAGCCATTGACACTGAATCCATCTGTCATTAAACTTAAGATTCCACAAATGAAGCACTAAATTCAGAAAATTCAGATAATAACAAATTTTGTCTTAAACCACAAACATTTCGAAAAGCTAGGTTGCTCAGGATCATATTGGAAAACTTCATATTCCTAACATATGCTCCGTTTACGCGCCTAGCGCTTACTGGGTCAAATTCAGGCTTATACAGAATACGGATTGTCTGTACTCAGGATCATCTTGACCTTTTGTAGGCCAACTGTACGATCACTTAGCTTGGGCCTTATATGGGTCTATTAACATCGGCTATCGGACAGGAAGGTTTGAACATCGGAAGTAGGGCGGCCATTTACATATATTACCGCTTGCTTCTAAGGTTTGCCAATGATGTAAAGTCTGTCCGCAAAAAGTTTATTAGGTTTCTAACTTTCCTGAAATAAGGTAAAACAGTTTTCGTCGTTCATCATATTTTGTAAAATGTACATTTATGCCATATTTTGTCCCCTTGATGTGTGATGTAATACAGTTAGGGATTTTATAAAAATAACCCGACCAAGCCCGGTCCTAGGATGTGCGGGACCAAGGCAGCAAGCGATGAGCGTGAGGCCGCAAGCAAAGAAAACTGCATTGCGGAGAAGAGCGGGGCCAAAGGCGGTTGCCTCATTCGCCTTGCCCTAGGGCCGGGCCTGACTCGGACAATATGCTAGTACGAAACACTTCATTGATTAATGGTCTACTGGTATTACTTTTGAGCAGTAAGTTAATGACAGCTATTAATAGATCAATGATCCATATTTTCTACATTATCACTAATAGTTATTGATAGATCAATGATCCATGTTTTCTATATTATCACGGACAGCTATTGATAGATCAATGATCCATGTTTTCTACGTTATCACTGACAGTTGTCTAGGCACAAATAGCTATTGAAATGTGCGTATATATTTGAAGATATGATGTGATTCCCTCCGTGTCACTTGATTCTGTGTTGGATGATTCCATATTCCCTAGTGTCACTGATTCCTTTGGCGTGAGACATACAGACAGGCAGACGGACAGACAGAGAGGTCAGTGATATCCCTGGGTCATAATAATGTATGTATGACAATACAGAGTTAAATAATTATATATTAAGAAAGAATATAATTTAACAGATTAGAAAATATTTTTAAATTTGTACCCTACTGAGACTCTAACCCAGGACTGTGGGTTGTGGCAAAAATCACCTTCATGCATGCAAGCACCAACCACAATATCCCATTGGTCATGTAAACATGACCCCCCTGGAAAATATTTGCTGATATAAGCATTCGTGTGCAGCAGACACTCGCATGATGACCCAGTAATTACCTCTCAACCAATACACAGTCACACCTATATAAGAAATCAAGGCACAGCAATTACCTCTCTACCAATGCACAGTCACACTTATACCAGAAATCAAGGCACAGCAATTACCTCTCTACCAATACAGTCACACTTATATCAGAAATCAAGGCAAATATAAATTCCTGTTGATAGCACGCAAAATGTTATCCTTGGATCAAACACGTAAATGCGTGATAGTATCAGGAGAAATTACTATAATTGTAGAAAGAATATTATGATAAGGGTGTTTTATATATATATATATATATATATATATATATATATATATATATATATATATATATATATATATATATATATATATATATATATATAAAGAATACAAATCATATGGCGAATAACAACCCTTTCAAGCGTACTGGATCCACCAAGGGATCACGTGTGTCAGGGATTATTTAAAATAGATGCAATAAACTGACGACGAACAGTACGAAACTAGTAACTAACTAGCCTAAGCGCTTTAGACTCTTAATGAGTCTTTTTCAAAGGCAAATACAAAACATATATACGATAAACAAATAAACACAAAAACGTTGTGTTTGTAAACCTCTACATGGCTGTCTTCACATGTGCTAAAACTATAAATACAACCAGCTTGTACAGACTAGATGCGGAAACTGAAAACATTGTATAATTCCCTAAAAGTCTACAAGCCAAAGCGACATCTATTTTTACTTATTGTACATATGTAACGCAGATTATATCCCGGATATTTGATTCTATACCGGTTATTCTTATAGTAAAAATTGAAGGATAATAAGAAGATTTAGAAAATGTTAAATTCTACTAGTGCATAGTTTTCATTTTCTAGTCTAAACCAAGAAGACTAGAAAATGAAAACTATGCACTAGTAGAATTTAACATTTTCTAAATCTTCTTATTATCCTTCAATTTTTACTATAATAATAACTGGTATAGAATCAAATATCCGGGATATAATCTGCGTTACATATGTGCAAAAAGTAAAAATAGATGTCGCTTTGGCTTGTAGACTTTTAGGGAATTATACAACGTTTTCAGTTTCCGCATCTAGTCTATACAAGCTGGTTGTATTTATAGTTTTAGCACATGTGAAGACAGCCATGTAGAGGTTTACAAACACAACGTTTTTGTGTTTATTTGTTTATCGTATATATGTTTTGTATTTGCCTTTGAAAAAGACTCATTAAGAGTGGAAAGCGCTTGGGCTAGTTAGTTACTAGTTTCGTACTGTTCGTCGTCAGTTTATTGCATATATATATATATATATATATATATATATATATATAGAGAGAGAGAGAGAGAGAGAGAGAGAGAGAGAGAGAGAGAGAGAGAGAGAGAGAGAGAGAGAGAGTCTCACTGACCTGTTGTAGGAATGAGAAATGGATGTTCCGGTTGTTTGGTTCCTAATCCCTGCGCATGGGACAGAATGTGAGGAAAGAAAACGGGAGGGGCTGAAATGCAGTGGTACCCAAACTCGGCAGGAAAAGAAGGACGAATAAGTGCAGAAAGTCCGCCATAATCTCGACAAAGCTGCTTTGGTTTGCTCAGTAAAATGTCCTCAATAAAGAAAGATGATGCACGAGATGTGCCAGAATCTTGAAAAGTATTCAAATTCATCTCTGAAAAAATAAAACAAATTGGTGAGAAAATATAATCAGTTAACTTGACGACAAGAGATAATCTTAAAAGTTTTAATGGAACTTTTTTTTATATGTTTTGACGGTACATTTTATTTACATTCCATGGACACATCGCGGCAGTCGACTTGGACTGGCCCGCTCAACAGTAGAAATACTTTATCTGTAAATGAATTTATGAAATTCATGCTTCCTTTTGGTGGAGCATGATTCATAATTTGTACAATGTGCAACAGATGCAAAATATACAAAATGGTAAAGAAATACTGACCAAGCAAAGCTATACATACAGACATGAGTACAGCTTACTATCAGGATGTAAAGAATATGATTACAAGAATGAATCGGCTTTGCAAAACTTTCAGTTACCTTTATTTTTTATTCCTGTTTCAAACAGTAGCGACACTTATAAAGAACAATAGCTAACAAAATTCAAAAAATTATTAATTAATATTTGCAAACCTTAGAAATGTTAAAATGAAGTTTTCACTGTGGAGTCCATGGTTGACGTAATTTGTTCTTTTTGCATTAAGAAAATGAAAAGAAAACAAAGGAACAAAATCCTAGTTGCAATGGGGTTTTAGTTGATGTTGTAATGTATAATGAGTCCAATCTGATACCTTCTTTCCGTTTTATGTTCGCGATGACAAGGACAAATTTTGTGTGAAAGGAAGGAAATTTAAGCATATTAGTCGCGAGTAAATTGGAAATCATCACATAGCCTATCAGTTCCTAGATCGGCTATAAACCAATAATGCAATTTTGATATCAGATATTTAGGATTTCAAGCCTTCAAGCTCAAAATAGTTAGGTTGTTACGCGGACCGACTTTGTTTCAGCATTAGAATAACTCCGGTCCATAGTTTCTGGACGTCTCCGGAGGTGGCTTTAAATGAAGTGTTATTAAGGGATAATGAAATTAATCACCGCCTTGGACCGAGAGCGAGAGTAACAAAACACGGTAATCCGTTTCTTCAAGTTAATTGGCGGGTAATTTGTAGACCAAGACGGAGTAATGTACATTTCCTCAGTAGTCTCCCTCGGTAGCAATCACAGCATTGATTAAGAGAATAAGCCTCTCCTTGGGCGAGATTTAGTCAAAAACCGTTTTGTGCCATCATTTTTATTTACATCACAAAAGAGAAAAGGAGAAGAAAAGGAAAGAAAACAAAGAAAACCATAAATATTTGTTAAATGGAATAAATATAATAAAGCATTTATAATCCAATTGATTCATATTTCAACTATTATTTACAAACTTTAATAGAATAATTTGATCTCTGCATTTAATTTATAGTGTCAACAGAACCTCTTCACACACAAAATTTTGTCTATTTTCGGCATATTTCTTAAACTAATATTATTCAGACAAAGTTTTTATGATGTTGGTTTTAACGTCAATTTTAATGGATATATCAGGTCTAGATAAAAGAACGCTATGTGCCTTTCCAATTAACACACCGAGGCAGCCTACTTGGTCTGGCCTGGGTTGATGTCGAACCAGCAACCCTTAGATTACGAGTTAAACGCTCTACCAAGTGATTTAGCTTTCTTCAGACCAAGTTTCAAAGTATTCGGTTGTTTTGTTTTTACAACCTCGTTCATTTTTTAACTGTGAAGTAGATACATTCTTTTTTATGATAGATCTCAACCCTGACACAAAAAAACACATTAGTTACAAAGTCGAAATAGAACAGAAAAAGAGACACACACTAAATACAGTTGTAACAAAAATTGGCTAGAACGGACACCAGACTACAAAGAACATCATCAAATGTCTAAAAAGAAAACATAATGCATTAACTGAGAATACTTTGCAATACAATGAACCTCTTCGTTTGGCCCAAAATGATAACGTCATATATTTACCACCAAAAAAAATACATTGCAGTGAATCGAATACAAGGAACATCTTTGTTTGCACAAAAATGCAACGTTATGCATTTACACAAAAACTTTGCATGGAACCCAAATGGTTTCTGAGATTATGATTGCTTCCTTTATCTTTGTATGGTTTATATTTTTGTGTATAAATGTTTCGAACACCATTGTATATTACTTCTTAATATAAGTAATAATAGAGAGACTTACAGCAAATGATCATGCAGCATTTCCTATATGGCTGACATTGTTTCATGTAATTCTTGACTTTATGCAGTTCATATTAAATAAAAGAAAATAATTTCAGTGCCAATTTTGATTTGGTACTGAATTATATATTTCTCTTTAACTTTTCTTTTTGACTTTGTATTTCTATTCGTAACAGATCTAATAATCACAAATAAGATATCGCGAGAAATCAATTAGAAAAATTCTAAGACATTTATTTCCTCCATATCATAGAAAACTCGTCTTCTACCAGACATGATTTCAGCTAATCTTGTTTTCCAAGTGCTAAAACTAATTAAGCCGAAAAACCGACTGATTGCTTTGATAAATACTGGATAATCAAGCTATTGAGATTTCTCGTGATTTTCAGCAATAACGTAAAATTGTGTATTAAATTAATAGTCAAGATCGGTTGACAAGTAAACTGTCTTGATTAAGTCTTGGAATAGCTATCGAATAAAAATACGCTTGCCGGGTCTTAAACGCAGAGATATAATGAAGGCAAGAGCCTTCCATGAGTTCTTTTGTGATACTTATAAATCATATCCCGGCCTCGGCGATAAATTGATCGCAGCCAATGGATAAATACAAGCAGCACCAAAGTGAATAATGTATTCGAGATTGCTGCTGACTGGCATAAGAAAATATGTGCAATTACACACAACGCACTGGCGAGTATCAGGGGAGGTAACCTCGACCTCTAATCAACAATATAAACGAAACGAAACTAACGCTTCAAATGGACTGATGCGTTTATTTTACCAATTACAGGAAAATAAACACCGCTGGGATTTGTGTTGTGTATAAAAACGTCTGATCTCCCACAGGGGTTAATTTCGATAAATGGTAGCATGATTTTCGCAATAAAATGCATTAAAGATTGGAGAGACGTGCAGAAAACATATGAGATTGTCGGTTGTCTGCGTAATTAGGACCCTAATTTGCTGTTAGGAATTCTCGTGAGAGGAATGGAAACTAGGGACACGTCTGGCTTCAAACGTTGGGTCTTTGCTAAACGAATAGTGCAAGAAGAAGAAATATAAATTATGACAGGGAAAAAGAAATAAACCTACATAATAGGGACGAAATTTCTGCCATGGTGGGGGTGGGGGATGAAATGTGTATCTTTTCATGCCGTATCAAAAGGCACTTTTTATATACTGTACCGATTCGCCACTATGTTCTTAACGCTCATTCGGGTTAGGGCAATTGTACATTGAGTACTTTAATTATGATATTTACGTATATTTTCAATGATCCCCATAACTAGTATTCTGCAGATCTATTCAATAGCAATAAACTTTAATGCCTGGAATAATGCAGTAGTACCACGTTCACTTGCGGTAACGGGTTCGATTCCCAGTTTCAACACTTACTGGGGAAAGCAGCAGCCTAGTCAAGGTGGTTTCCTATGAGTTTTCTGGTGTCTTCACCTAAAAAAAAACTACTTGACGCTTTAATGACTTAGATCAATAGCGATTTAACAAATTGTTAGCACTTGCTATATAATCGACGTTAATAAATAAACGTCAATACGAAATATGAAAAAGGCACATATCAAAGAACTGAATGGATCATAAGTGTGTATATGGGTGTGTTTAAGTGAAAGATGCACGTGAAATAACTGAATGGATCATAAGTGTGTATATTGTTGTCTTTAAGTGAAAGATGCACGTGAAATAACTAAATGGATCATAAGTGTGGATATTGGTGTCTTTAAGTGAAAGATGCACGTGAAATAACTGAATGGATCATAAGTGTGTATACTGGTGTGTTTAAGTGAAAGATACACGTGAAAAAACTGAATGGAGCATAAGTGTGTATATGAGTGTGTTTAAGTGAAAGATACACGTGAAATAAATGAATGGATCATTTGAATGAATATGGTTGCATTAAAGAGAAAGTCACATATCAAATAAATGAATGCATCAGATGTGCGTATATGAATGCCGTAAAGAGGTGGGAGATACAGATTAAGTAACTAAATAACTCTACCGCGTGCTTATCTTCCCCTAACTTTCAAGTATAGTGGTAGGGTACTCTTTTTTCATCTGCAAGTTGGTAATAATTCAATTCATCGTTACATGTATATTACTGTGTGTTTGTCCACGAAACATAAATGTTCACCCCACACGCATGCCTTTTCGAAATAGAATACAAATTTTCTGACTGAAAACATTTTGTTTGTATCAACTGATAACCAGATCCTTAATCAACCATTCAATCGATCATTAAACCAATCCATCAACTAAGCGACGGTATGTATTGTGCACTACCAGCTATAAAAATTGGTCTGTTTCTTTATCCTTGAGGCAGAACTGTCTCTCCTCAACTGAGTGATCTGGGACCGATTCCATGTTTTATACAGTGGATTCAGTCGGAATTATGCTGATCACATTCATGTTATTTAGGGACTTTGTTTTAAAATCACAAGGAAAGCCAGAAAATGTACGAAACATAATAAAAATGAACTTTAATTTGATCGATTTGATGGAACATATTATTTACAAACAAATCAGACAAGATTTTAAAAGAAAACAACAACCAATATACAAGTGTTTTCATCGTGGTATACAGAATTATAGTTCTAGTTTCCGGTCCACTAGTATTAATATAGGCAACCAATCAGGCATCACCCTACACTTGACAGTCATTTAAAACACGTGACAGCTGGCCAATGATATACTGAGTAGCTTTCCTGGATGGCAGCTTTCTTTATAGTAAAGCTAGTGATAACGTCCCCTTTTATTGCTCAGTGTTTGGTTTTCAGCAATGTTAGTTAAGTCTCATTTAACTCTCTTATTTTAGGGTGGTATTTCGTTATACTATCTAACGGTCAACGCAACTTGAAAAGTATAATATATTTCAACGAGTCATATATACATTATCTTTTAAACCACTATAAACTGACACACTGCAGATATCGTATCGATATAACTACAAAATTGTTAAAGCTACGTTAAAAATTTTAATCACACACACACACATTCACTTTTTAAACATCGAGATATATTTGTGTAATTAATATAAAGACATAATCATGTGATAACAATAAATACATGTTCATATAATTATCATGAATACATATTCAAGTACTTAACCATACAGACAGATTCTCGTAATAACCATAAAGATAAATTCGTGTTATAACCATAAAGACAGATTCTTGTAATAGTCATACAGATATATTCACGTAATAACCATGAAGACACATTCTTGTAATAACCATAAAGACAGATTCTTGTAATCATCATACAAATATATTTATATAATTACTATAAAGACATATCAATGCAATAACGATGAATACAGATTATAGTAATAACCATAAAGACAGATTCTTGTAATCATCATACAAATATATTTATATAATTACTATAAAGACATATCAATGCAATAACGATGAATACAGATTATAGTAATAACCATAAAGACAGATTCTTGTAATCATCATACAAATATATTTATATAATTACTATAAGGACATATCAATGCAATAACGATGAATACAGATTATAGTAATAACCATAAAGACAGATTCTTGTAATCATCATACAAATATATTTATATAATTACTATAAAGACATATCAATGCAATAACGATGAATACAGATTATAGTAATAACCATAAAGACAGATTCTTGTAATCATCATACAAATATATTTATATAATTACTATAAAGACATATCAATGCAATAACGATGAATACAGATTATAGTAATAACCATAAAGACAGATGCTTATAATAACCATAAAGACAGATGCTTATAATAACCATAAAGACATATTCCTATTTCAAAAGACCTGCAGGTTTGAAAATATTTCTTAAAAGTGTGTACATTCTTTTTTTCAAAACAAAGGTTTCATTCGGGTAGATTTAGAGCATGGAGCTGGTTCTAGACATTGGTTGATTTCTGATATGACATAGACCCTAGATTAAAGCGGTACATGGACAGAGGTATATATAAAACATAAAATATGAAATTTTGACCACGAAAGAAAGACGGTTCACCCAGTCTTCAATGCGAATACGTAAAAGGAGTAGTTGATAACAGCGTCTATTAAATATCATTGCATGGGCAAGAATTTAGATGTTAGAGCTATGGATATGGCAAATTATGTGTTAAAAAAGGCAGTTACAACAACAAAAAAAACCACACACATCTTAGAATTCCGCACATTCAAAATTTCATTAGTTCAAAGAAAAAATGTATAAATAATTTCATCTGACTATGAGGGACATTCATTCATTCATGCCTGAGTTCTGATATGCGGATCCTACCAACTAACCTCTGTGTGATCTGCTCACATCAGGTGGGTGTTCGAATATTTATAATACAGTCTGAAATATTACAATAGCGGTATAAAAATAACTCAACCGTTCTCATTGAACGACTTTAAAGTACTACTTCATGTTTAAATTCACACGACACCAAAATATTCATTTGGT